TTTGTAATATCTTTAGTTGATTGGAACTTTTTTATTATTGCTCTGACGGTGGAAATGCGGAAATGCAGTGCTTTAGCTCTTTTCTTAAAACCACTTTCTTTTTTGCGAAGCTCAACAATCTTATATATTATATAACTATATAACTATGTTTTTACTCCTTGTGATGGATGATTAAGGGAATTTGGCCTTTGTGATCTCTCATATTTATATTCCTGTGAAACAGGAAGTCATGGCTGGACAATTTCATGCTCCTAGTCACCCTGGTGTGCTAAAAACTAAATATGTATGGGAATATACTTTAGAGATATTTTACTCATAAGAATTTCTAGGGGTGCCAATAATTGTGGTCAACATGTATTGGAGAAAAACTATTATTTTATAATGAGATCCAACCCCCCACCCCCCCACTCTCAATTGTTTTACTTTAATGAAAGGTTAGAATTTTGTGAATTTTTTGAATGAAAGATCAAAAAGATAACGATGCAGATTTATTTTCACAGCCGCCTTTGCTCATATTTACCAAGGGTGCCAATATTAGTGGAATTTCATAAGAGAATAAGAGATATTTTTTTCCCTCATATAATGAGATGTAATTTAAATGTGTACTCAAGCACAGTTATCTGTCTCGAAATGGCCAAATATTTGCTGATGAATCAGCCTGGGTGATATGTTGGTCATTAATCACAGTAGTATTTGGCCACAATGGTGAGACTGGACTGTTTGAAATATCATGCTCAGCACTTTATTCTTACACTCAGAGCGTGCTTTCATTCATGCATCATAATTAGCTATCTTTGCAATTTTAGATTAGTTTAACTGTTAATTATATATCGAAATTAAGCATGGGTTTTCATTCTGTTATTGATGTTCTCTTTACAGACATCGCTCCGTACTTTAAAACCGAGGCAGGGGGTGCACAGACACACCTGGAGGGGAACAGACTCGTGCTCACCTGTCTGGCTGAGGGCAGCTGGCCGCTGGAGTTCAAATGGATGAGAAACAGCACAGACATCACTAAATACACACCAGAGTACAGGTAATAATCAACACATATTGTGTCTGCACGTTTAGACTTAAATATTTAATTGATTTAGCTGTTTATATCTCTTATCCAAAACCATGCAACAGGGAAACTCCTTCTGAAGCAAGATCATTAATCACACTAAAATGGGCTGTAACATCTGATCTTTGAGGAGCTATTCAAGATCATGAAGTCTGCATAAAACAGCAAAACATTAAACCCCCAATTCACAAATCTCACATTTTTATTTCATGGGATTTTTAAAGTAGTTTGTTGCACTATTTTGGTATAAGTAACCATTATCTTAACTGGCACCCATGTACCGAGGTCATTGGATTCTGGATTGTACTGCACAAAATAGTGCTACAGTATAAAAAACTAATATAGACAGTGCTGTGTCCTTTGGGATCTCATTTGTCCTGTTCCCTTCTTTGGTCTCTTTCTCTTGTCTGGTCATCCATATTTGACCCCTCGTGTTTTGGAGACATTATTATTACAGTGACCTCTGAGTTGTGTATAATAAAGAAATGGTGTATAATAAGAACAGTGTTTCAAGATGAGGTCTATTTTCATTCCTTTTTTTAAAAGCTAAAAAATTTGACTTTAAAGGGATAGTTCACCCAAAAAAGAAAATTCAGTCATCATTTATTCATCCCTATGAACCTGTATGAATTTCTTTTTAATGCTGAACACAAAAGAAGATATTTTGGAGAATGTGTAAAACCAAACAGTTGATGGTAGCCATTGACTTCCGTAGTATTTTTTGCCATACTATGGAAGTCAGTGACCGGCTACCATCAATTGTTTGGCTGAAATGTTGCCATGAAAACAGTAATAATTGCCTCATGTTTTTCTAAACAGGGTTATCATAATTATCTACTAAAACTAATACTATTAAAACCATTTTTGTTAACTGAAATAAAGCTGAAAAAACTCAAATCTAAGTATTAGATGAAAAAAGTAAAAAAAAAACGAAACAAAAATGAAAAATGTTGTCTTGGCAACTAACTGAAATAAAACAAGTTTATGTTAAAGAACCAATTTTTTTTTTTAAAGCTATATATAAATATAAAAAAAGCTACAACTAATAAAAGTGATAAAAGCACATTACAAAATGACTAAAACTTAAACAAAAAAATTTAAGTGAACTGAAAAAATAATGATGAGAGCTAATTCAAAAATATGAATAAACACCACAATAATATATAAATATTACATAATATAAATAACACCGGTCGAGTGCTTTTTAGAAAAGTTGAAATGAGAACAATTAGAACTTTTGCAATTAACTGAAATAAGATTAAGTACTAAAATTACTCAAATTAATATAATAAAATAAATTACAGCTATAAAAAAAGAAAACCGATTAAAAAAGGCTAAAGCACATAACAAAATTACTAAAACTTAAAACGAAATATAACTATAAAAAAAATATAGCTAAAAAATTTAATTATAAAAATGACCAAAGCACATGACAAAATTGCTAACTGAAAATACAAAAAAATAAAAGCTAATTCAAAATATCAATAAATACCATAATAGTATTTTCAATATTGATAATAAACCAGCATATTGGATCATGTGACTCTGAAGACTGGAGTAATGATGCTGAAAATTCAGCTTTGATCACAGCAATAAATTGTATTTTTAAATATATTCAACTAGAAAACCAGTCATTTAAATTGTAATAATATTTCACAAGATTACTGTTTTTACTGCATTTTTGGTCAAATAAAAGCAGCCTTGATGAGCAGAAGATACTTCCGTAAAACACATTATAAATCTTGCTGATCCCAAACTTTTGAACAGCAGTGTACATATTACATAACATACATGATATCTTATATTATGTACAATTCTACTAGGGTTTAAGCAATTAAGCAACAGAGAATCACACCTTACATTTTTTTATATTTTGATTTTATTTTTACATTTTAAGTATAATATCAAAATATCAATAAATACCATAATAGTATATAAATAATCAAAAATAAATAACATGCTGCTAACATCATACTTCATTGATATCAGTTGTGAGTTTAGTCTTTTAATAATAATTAATAATAATACTCTTTTTCTATTAACTGAAATAAAGCTGAAAAATATTTAAAACTTAAAAACAAAACCACTTTGTTGATATGATTTGTGAGATGTGTGAATGTCACTTAGGTTACTGCTGATGTAGCCAGTATGCAGGACAGCTGATTAGGGTTCTCATCAGTTATTGACGGGTTATTGTGTGGTGCAGCCCATGGAGCGGAGCTCTCTGAAGAACAGCGACGTCCTCATCCTAACAGGCCTGACCCGGACCCCACCGCCAACCCGGATGGCATGCTGGGAGGATTCTGCAGCAACCTGGGTGAGTTTCACACACCTGCCGGATCCGGTGTGTTAGGTAAGAGTGCGTCTGACTCCGAGTATGTCTGGGTGCTTTCTCTCTCCTCAGCCATGACGATCCGTGCCGGTGCCGTGGTATTCGTCCGGGGTCATCTGTGACCTGCTGCAGTGTCTGTATCAGTTCATGGACTCGGCTGACCTGGGCAGCACCCCCTTCTACTTCATCTCCCCCGTGGCCAGCGGCTCGCTGGAGTTCTCGCAGATCTTCGCAGAATGGGACGATCGCAAGCGGCTCGATGCAGTTGCTTCCAGTAATGTGGTTGATTTAAAATATTATAGTTGCTACAGATATTATTTTGGTCACAGTTTCAGTCATCACTGCCGTTGCAATGATTCTATAGTGACTATTTTTTTCTTGTTCATCGGCTAGAATATTGTGGGTTTTGTCCTATTAAATACATTTATAATATAATAATAAAAAAATGTAATTATATTTAATATTTAGAATTTTTCTTTTTAATCAGCTAGATATTGTGTTTTATCAAAAACATCTGTAATATAATGATTAAATAATTTTTTTTAAATTGGTATTTTTTCTTGTTAATCAGCTAGACATTGTGAGTTTTGTTTTATCAAAAACATATGTAATATAATTTAATATAATATAATGATTAAATAATTACAAATTATATTAATATTAATATTTTTTCTTGTTAATCAGCTAGATATTGTGAGTTTTGTTTTATCAAAAACACCTGTAATATGATATATTATTATTATTATTATTATATAATTAATAACTTATTATAAAAATGTATTAATTAAAATTAAATAGATTTTTTCTTGTTCATTGGCTAGATTGTTGGTTTTGTTTTATTGAACACATCTGTAACACAATTAAAATATAATTAATAATTGAATATTAAAATTAATAAAATATAAATATTTAATAATTTTTTTCTAGTTAATCAGCTATATATATTCTATATATAGAATAATACAATATAATTAAATATTAAATTAACAGAATAAAATTAATAAAATCATGTAATTAATTTTATTTGTTTGCAGTTCATTGTCATATTGTGGGATTTGACTTATTAATGACATCTGTAATATTATTAATAACTGAATATTAATTTAATTATATGTACCACTCCAGAAATGTCTTTAAAATGTTTTTTTTTTTCCATAATAGTCACTGGAAGCGTCACTGAAGTTCATTGGTTTGATAATATGCTGGCAGATAATATGGTTACCATGGTAACTGTTCATTATTGCTGTGATATTTCCATAGAAGTGCTCAATAATAGCTCATTCTCTTAGCAGTCTAAGGTCTATCTGCTGAGCCGCCTTTTCCTCACGCAGAGGTACCAAAAAAACGGCAAAATCCTCAAAAGGCATCCCTGTATGGACACATACCTGTTTGTCATGTGCTTGGTTTCTGCAGCTGATTCAGACCAATGAACTGAAGCATTACCCCAGCATTCATGGAGATTTCAGCAGTGAGTTCCGGCAGCCGTGTGTGGTGTTCACGGGTCACCCGTCCCTGCGCTTCGGGGATGTGGTGCACTTCTTGGAGCTGTGGGGCAAATCCAGCCTCAACACCATCATCTTCACCGGTGAGACACAGCATATCACTAAACACATCACTCTTATTCAGCGAGGATGCATTCAGCTGATCAAAACTGACTGTAAAGACATTTATAATGTTTCAAACTATTTCTATTTCATGCTGTTCTTTTGAACTGTTTATTTAAAGAATCCTGAAAAATAGAAATGTATGACTGTTTCCATAAAAATATGAAGCATCACAACTGTTTTCAACATTGATAATCAGCATATCAGAATGATTTCTGAAGGATCATGTGACACTGAAGACTGGAGCAATGATGCTGAAAATTCAGCTTTGATCACAGAAATAAATCACATTTTACAATACATTCAAATAGAAAACAGTTATTTTAAATTGTAATAATATATCACTATTTTTCAGTTTTTACTGTATTTTAATCAAATAAATGCAACCTCGGTGAGCAGATTAATGAGCACTATTCACCCCAAAAGCAAAAGAAAAAACAATACAGTATATTTTGCATATGACTATTTTTAGAATCATGAAAATTTTTTCCACCGATTGACATGGTATTTTTTTCTTTTCTACAAACAAATATTTTCATAATGATTTTATAATGATGTGGAAACCCATTAGAAAGTCTAGAGCAGTTGCCATGGAAACTGGGATGGAAAATGGACTTGAAGGGTTTCCAGGTTTCCCTGAATGTGGTGTAGTTCTGAAACCCTTTGACCTCTGACTCTCAGAGCCGGACTTCTCTTACCTGGATGCTCTGGCTCCGTACCAGCCGCTGGCCATGAAGTGCGTTTACTGTCCCATAGACACGCGGCTCAACTTCCACCAGGTGTCCAAACTCCTGAAGGACATCCAGGTACAGTCTGTTCCTCCTGAAGGCCGGAAGGTCAGATGTCCTCAGTGTGTCCATTACGACATGAAATGATTGAATTGGCCTCGACTGACTATGTCTCTTGTGCTGTCCCATCAGCCTCTTCATGTGGTGTGTCCGGAGCCGTACACGCAGCCTCCTCCGGCTCAGCCTCACCGCTCGGACCTGATGCTGGAGCTGCAGCCTCCACCCATGTCCTACCGCCGCTGCTCCGTCCTGGGCCTTCCCTTCAGACGCCGCTACGAGCGCATCCACCTGCTGCCTGAGGTCCCTACACAACTCTCAACAGCGCTCTAAGATTCAATTTAATCACACACTGACAGATTAACTGCTTTTTAACCATGCTTTAATATCTAATATTCATATATTCAAATTAACTTTTAGTTTTAGGTTTTTAGTTCAGTTTTAGTTCATTTTTTAAAATATTTTTTTATGTTTATAAATAGTTTATTTCTGTTTTAGTTTTATTTTAGTTAGTATTTTAACTTATTTCAATATATATATATATATATATATAAATATATATATTATTTGTAAATAGTTTATTTAATTTTAGTTTTAGTCCGTTAGTAATTTTAGTATTTTAACCTAAACTTAGTTTAGTTAGTTGCCAATTTTTCATCTAATATTAATATATATATATTTTTTATATTTATCATGATTTCAAAAACAGTGCTATTTTCATATTATTTATTTTTACGGCTATAATGTTTAATATTATTTGAATTGGCTTTTATTTGTGCATTTTCAGTTTATTTTAGTTTTTAGAAGTGCTTTTGTCATTTTATTAGTTTTTATATACGCATTTCTAGATACATTTATTTTCATTTCAGCTTTGTTTCAGTTCAGTAATTTTAGTATTTTAAACAACTTATTTCACTTAGATGCCAAAACAAATTTCTTATTTTTGTTTAGCTGAAGGTGTTCATCTAATATTTCTGTTTTATTTCATTTTTTTTTTTTTTTAATTAACAAAAATAGATTGAAATACTTTTAGTTTTTGTTAATTATAACACTGGTCAAAAAGCTTTAAAAATATTTATTTGTTAGTTTTGTATATTGATTATCTGTATGCTTTAAAATAATATCAGAAATAAAAAAGAACTATATCAGTTAATAATATGTATGATGTGTTCAGTATCTGAGTTTTGTTTTCTCCTGCTAACCGTCCAGCTCGCCAGGTCTCTGGTGCCGTCAGAGATTAAAGCAGGCGTCTCTGTCGCTACAGTGTCTGCGGTTCTGCAGTCCAAGGACAACAAGCACGTTCTGCAGGTCAGTGAGTGTGTGAACACAGCATGTGTTCAGTGCGACAGCCTGATAAACTTGATCTAAATCTTTAGCTTGCCTACATTTTTCTCTACATTGTCTGAAGCTTTTTTTTTAGCTCACATTATAACCAACAGCATGGTTTGTAAACTAGTTTATTCATCCAGCGTGAACACACAGGACAGTCTGACACGTGTGTGTGTGTGTGTGTGTGTGTGTGTGTGTGTGTGTATATATATATATATATATATATATATAGGCTTTCTGACCCCAAGACTCAACTAATATCTGCAGCTCTCCAGCTGTGATCCTTGGAGAGTCTTTGGCCACTCAAACTCCTCAACCTCATTACCATGCCTTGTTACGATATAGACACACGTCCTCTTCCAGGCAGATTTGTAATATCTTTAGTTGATTGGAACTTTTTTATTATTGCTCTGACGGTGGAAATGCAGATTGTCAATGCTTTAGCTCTTTTCTTAAAACCACTTTCTTTTTTGCGAAGCTCAACAATCTTATATATTATATAACTATATTCTTTGGTTTTTACTCCTTGTGATGGATGATTAAGGGAATTTGGCCTTTGTGATCTCTCATATTTATATTCCTGTGAAACAGGAAGTCATGGCTGGACAATTTCATGCTCCTAGTCACCCTGGTGTGCTAAAAACTAAATATGTATGGGAATATACTTTAGAGATATTTTACTCATAAGAATTTCTAGGGGTGCCAATAATTGTGGTCAACATGTATTGGAGAAAAACTATTATTTTATAATGAGATCCAACCCCCCACCCCCCCACTCTCAATTGTTTTACTTTAATGAAAGGTTAGAATTTTGTGAATTTTTTGAATGAAAGATCAAAAAGATAACGATGCAGATTTATTTTCACAGCCGCCTTTGCTCATATTTACCAAGGGTGCCAATATTAGTGGAATTTCATAAGAGAATAAGAGATATTTTTTTCCCTCATATAATGAGATGTAATTTAAATGTGTACTCAAGCACAGTTATCTGTCTCGAAATGGCCAAATATTTGCTGATGAATCAGCCTGGGTGATATGTTGGTCATTAATCACAGTAGTATTTGGTCACAATGGTGAGACTGGACTGTTTGAAATATCATGCTCAGCACTTTATTCTTACACTCAGAGCGTGCTTTCATTCATGCATCATAATTAGCTATCTTTGCAATTTTAGATTAGTTTAACTGTTAATTATATATCGAAATTAAGCATGGGTTTTCATTCTGTTATTGATGTTCTCTTTACAGACATCGCTCCGTACTTTAAAACCGAGGCAGGGGGTGCACAGACACACCTGGAGGGGAACAGACTCGTGCTCACCTGTCTGGCTGAGGGCAGCTGGCCGCTGGAGTTCAAATGGATGAGAAACAGCACAGACATCACTAAATACACACCAGAGTACAGGTAATAATTAACGCATACGCTTTGCTGTCTGCACGCTTAGACATAAATATTTCATTGATTTGATTGAGTTGTTTCCATGTCTTATCAAAAACAATGCAACAGGGACAGTCCTTCTGAGGCAAGATCATGAATAACACTAATATGGGCTTTAGTATGCGATCTTTGGCAAGATGTTCCAGATCATAAAGGCTGCATAAAACAGCAAAACATAACATCCCCAATCCACAAATCCCAAATTTTGATTCCATGGGATTTTTAAAGTAGTTTGTTGCACTATTTTGGTTGAAGTAACCATTATCTTATTTTGCACCCATGTAACGAAGTCATTGGATTCTGTGTTGAAGATTGTACTGCACAAAATAGTGTTACAGTATAAAAAACTAATATAGACAGTGCTGTGTCCTTTGGGATCTCATTTGTCCTGTTTGATCTTTGGCAAGATGTTCCAGATCATAAAGGCTGCATAAAACAGCAAAACATAACATCCCCAATCCACAAATCCCAAATTTTGATTCCATGGGTTTTTTTAAAGTAGTTTGTTGCACTATTTTGGTTGAAGTAACCATTATCTTATTTTGCACCCATGTAACGAAGTCATTGGATTCTGTGTTGAAGATTGTACTGCACAAAATAGTGCTACAGTATAAAAAACTAATATAGACAGTGCTGTGTCCTTTGGGATCTCATTTGTCCTGTTCCCTTCTTTGGCCTTTTTCTCACATCTGGTGATCCATCTTTGACCCCTCGTATTTTAGAGACATTATTATTACAGTGACCTCTGCGTTGTGTATAATAAGATAAGAAATGGTGTATAATAAGAACAGTGTTTCAAGATGAGGTCTATTTTCATTCCTTTTTTTAAAAGCTAAAAAATTTGACTTTAAAGGGATAGTTCACCCAAAAAAGAAAATTCAGTCATCATTTATTCATCCCTATGAACCTGTATGAATTTCTTTTTAATGCTGAACACAAAAGAAGATATTTTGGAGAATGTGTAAAACCAAACAGTTGATGGTAGCCATTGACTTCCGTAGTATTTTTTGCCATACTATGGAAGTCAGTGACCGGCTACCATCAATTGTTTGGCTGAAATGTTGCCATGAAAACAGTAATAATTGCCTCATGTTTTTCTAAACAGGGTTATCATAATTATCTACTAAAACTAATACTATTAAAACCATTTTTGTTAACTGAAATGAAAACAAAGCTGAAATAAAATACAATAAAATATATGTATTAAATGGAAAAAAAATTAATGTACCAAAAAAAAAAAAAACCTGAAATAAAAAAATAATTGAAACTAAATATTAATATTTAAGAGAAACAAAAACTAATGCACATGAAAAAAACATATAACAAACTGGTTGCACTTTATTTTACAGTATGTGCACTTACTTGTACTTACAGTGTACTTACCTATGAAAGTACTTATTAATATCAGGTAACTACATGGGTTAGGGAATGAACAAATCCAGAAATCGAAACAAAGTTCCATTTCGGTTGTGCGCTGTCCTTCGACTCCTTCTGGCCACTTCCCAGTCCTGCTCGGGTTAGGTTTAGGGGTAGGTTCAGGGTTTGTACCTAGATATTACCCAGTTATTGTAATTACTATAGCAAGTACATAGTATGCACATGTGGAACAGGACTGTAAAACAAAGTGCCACCAACAAACTAATTAAAAATTCAACTAAAACTAATAAAAACACAACAACTGAAAAATACTATTAAAAATACTAATTCTTGATCTTTCTTCTGTTTCTATCTCATCTTTACAGTAGCATTGAAATTTAATTTTTTTCAGTGTTCCTCTGAATCTTTAACTTACGTTTGAGATATCTGTAAAACTGACAGAGTGTTGAGTTTTTTATCAGTGCAGCTGATTCCACATTCAGCTCATGTGAACCATCAGTTCTGCATTAAACACCGTCATCTGTTAAAACTGAATCAACACAGATTTGAGCAGCTCTGACCCTGTGGGCTTGTAATCTTTCTTGTTAAACAGCACACACTCGCATCCATCTGCTCATAATCCAAACACTTGTTAGCGTCCACTTTCAAACTTCTTGTCTGTTTAATTGAACTGTTTATTGTACAGGTTGAGGAAATCATATTGTACAGATAACACATATTTGACTGTGATATACACGTGCCAAGTCTTGAGTAGTGTTCAAAATAGCAAAGTACTCTACTACTCATACTATTTCTGCAGTTTATACTATAGTGTGGTGAACGGTATGCAAAAGAAGAGAATACTGTGTGGTTGGTATACTTTTTCCCACAATGCAATGCACTTGATTTGACCTTTTAATTACAGTGTGATGAATGAACTGCACGTAATATCACCCCAATTTTTTTTTGGTACATTATTGGATCAAACTGCTAGCAGTCAATGCATCAGTGGATTAAAGAAACTTAATAACAGGAAGTGACTCACTGAATTAAACATACAGTGAGGTTATGATGAGACAACAATGTAGTACACTACTGTTTGAAACATTTATCATTGCATAATGCGCTGTTTCTCACTCAAAAAAACGTAGTATGCAATATAGTGTGTACTGCACAGCAAGAACATCAAGTAAGCACTATGTAAATCCCAGATCTCTTTCTCTCTTCCAGGCACACAATTACGTCGTTAAAGCGTGAGGATGCAGGTGTATATCAGTGCGCGGTGAGGAACAGGATGGGAGCGCTGATCCAGACAAGAGCTGATGTTCGCGTGGCTTGTAAGTACATGTGTATGCTGTTCGAAAGGGAGTCCGGGAGGCTGAAGCACAAATGGATTTCACACATCACCACACTCACCTAGAACACACACATATGCATGTAGCACAGGAGACCCTGTGGATTAACTAAAAGTGACATTCAGAAAACACTCCAGTAAATTCTAAATAAGGTGTCACTCCAGTACACTTTATTTGCTGTTTGAAATAAGCCAGGTGTATGGGACACATATACACATATACAAGTATATTACATTAATTGCCGTGCATTATTCTCCACATATAGCGCGATCTGAACCCTAAACACATTTTGTCAAAAAAGCCGGTTTTGTCCACTTTCAAGGCATCGCGAGTTCATGTTTTACTGCAGAAGCCGACAAGCTCCCTTGTTGTTTTTGAGCAGAGGCCAATAAGTCCATTTTAGCGAATCAGCGCTCTGTATTCAGGTCAGGTGACAAGACTACTTTCACTTAGAAAAGACGCAGTGTTGCCAGACGTACGATAATTATCGTATTTGTACGATAATTTTGACCTCTGTACGATCAATAATGAAAAAAATCCCATAATGTACGATAATTTCATAATTTTATGACAATTCAAATGATGGTAGTTGTAGTCATAGGGCTTCTATATTCATACACGAAATCGGCTCATTACAGACTCTCTAAATGTGCTCGTGCACACCTCAGAGTGTGTTAAGAATGCAGGAGGGTGCCCTGCTTTAAAGCCAACGAGCACTATGTTGCGGTCCATGATGGCAAGAACCCCCTCAACATATGGCAACACGCAGGCTTCCGATGACAGCGACTCAGATGTGTAGAGTTAACAGCTAAAATCTGTCTACACTGGACGCGACAAAGCGAGTGTTAAAAACCATTTTAATACGTCATAAATAGAACGAGACATCAGTTT